GCCCGCCGTCCGGAGCGCGCCCGGGAAGCCCTCCTCCCCGCCGCTAATGGCTGCTCCGCCCCCCGGGGAGCGAGGGGGGCTGTTTCTTCGGCAGCTGCGACCGCCGGGGCGGGCCGCGCGAACAAGCCACGGGAAACAAACAGGAACGCCGCGCCCCGCCGCGCCTGTCTGCCGGCCTCCTCCGGCAGCTACTCTGGGGGAAGGGAAAGAGGAGGGAGAAGCGCAGGAGAGGGAGGAGACGACCGGGAAAGGGAGAGAGAGAGAGAGAAAGGCAGGGAGGGCCGAAGGGTGTGTGTGGGGCTTGTATGTGACTATAACGCGGGTGCTACGAGCGGAGACAGCCCAGATAAGCAGAAACACCCGCCCCTCTTCCCCAGACGCAAACGAGGTGTACGCCTTTCCAACTTTCAGCTACCGCGACCCAGCTCCAAGCAGCTGCACGGAAGCCCAGCGTCGGGGAAGCCCTCCCGGCTTGGTGCTCTACAGAGCAGGAACCTCCCACTGGCTTTAATGAAGCGTGAGGCGGAGGGCTTCCCTCGGCTCGGCAAGGCTGGAGTCCGCCTGCTGCAACTCCCTTTGCCCGTGGCCAGCGCAGCGGGGAAGGGAGGAGGAACCTGGCAGTTGTGCTCCATTTCTTTTGCTCGTCTCCCGCCCCTCGCCTCTTCTGCAAGCGCCCCTCTGGGGCCGTTTTGAGTTACGGCGCAAGGCTTCGCTGCTGGAAGGCTGCGCTCGACGTTCAGCGGCGCCCGAGCCCGACGACAGCCCTTGCCCGGAATGTCGGGGTGGACCAGGAGGCGGGGACGGTGCTCCCCGGGCTAGCTACGTGCGCGGGGCGCCCTGAACCACAAACCAGCCAGCTGCAGTAGAGCCCAGCGTGGTTGGTGTATGGTACAGCGCGTCCTGCGGACTCAGACAACTGAGTTTGGTTAACATGAGTAAGCGTGTCTTGTGAACCCAACCTGTCTGTCTGTCTGGACTTAATCATTATTTGTTGAATGCACCCATTGTCTACATTCACATAGTACGCTAATCCGTTAAATCGTCGATTACAAACAAGAGTGTGTACACTCCTTTAAATCAAATCAAATCCAAACCACCACATTGTGGTTTAGCACAGTGCATGAGCTTACCAAGTGTTTTACTATCTTATTATCTGTCTTACTAAGGCAAAGATCCTGCATGTACTGTAAGTTTCCTGCCCTTCTAGCCGGTTCTCCTGCAAGCCCTACCGAGCCCTGCACCAATCAATCGCTGACTCTTTTTACCCTCGCCGCTGTAAATCTCCTTTCCTTCATCCCCCAAGTTGGCCTCTGTGTACTGTACTCTGCGTCCAAAGCTGAGGTTCTCTCAGAAAGTTGGCCAGTTTTTTTCTCCTTTTTTCTCCTCTCAGATGCACGCTTTCCTTCAAAAAGGAAGGAAAGGGAACTGAATGAACCCTTCAGAAAGGATCTTGGGATCTGTACATCTTAATAACCACAAAACAACAATGGGATGGCACAGAGTTGCTGAAGGCCTACAAAACAAGGGAAAAGCCAATATAGCAGCAAGACAGAGAGTGGAGTTTTTGGAGAATGCAAAAGATGCAACTGTTAGTAAAGGAAGAAACTAAAGTTCATTTTGCCTACTTTTCATGACTGGGATAAAGAGCAGTTGCAAATGTTTGCATTAATTAATATATTAATATTATAATCATTAATATTAATAATATGATTATATTTTAAATAGAGGCTAGGTGAAAAGTCCTTAGTTTTCAAAATGATGTGTGCCATGACTAGGTGTGGATGGGGAAAGGCCCTTAGCTGGTTATCCCAAGAATTGGTATGGGAGGGTAGTATAGAACAGTGTTTCTCAACCTGGCCAACTTTAAGGTGTGTGGACTTCAACTCACAGAACAGGGTTCCTCAGCCGTGGCAACTTTAAGATGGGTGGACTTCAACTCCCAGAATTCCCCTTGCTAGCTGGGGAATTCTGGGAGTTGAAGTCCACCCATCTTAAAGTTGCCACGGCTGAGAAACACTGATGAACAAAGTATCTCATACTGCAGGAAGTCAAAAAGTGGAGTGAAGGTAGGGAGGGCAAGGGTTCCGTTGCCCTCAACATATGGATGCTGCAAGTCCAAGTAGCTAGAAAGACAAGGACAGCTCACATCTCTTTTCCTGTGGCTCACAAGACAGAATAGGTGAGGATGTGATGCAAGCCCATCAACTGAATGTCTTCCCCTTGCCCTGTACTGCTTAAAATACAGAGGGACAAGATGGAGTTTGAAAAACTCTTCCCGTAAGCCCAATTCATGAAATATTCATGGATCACCCAGATCCCTATCATGCAAATTCCAAAATTTTGTAAGTTAATAAAACGTAATAATGAATGTTCAATATGCATCATATACCTCTTTTTCAGCACATTCATCCTAATCAACCAATTTTAAAATACAGATATCTCAGAAGTAATGCTGGCATCCTTATATAAAATAGCAGTTTAGTGGCAATTCCTGAAGCAGAGTTTGGTCTGTTAAATAGTTAGGTGGGAGATTACCAGGGAGCATTTAAAATAGGAATCATGAATTATGGCATAAGTCCTTTCTAAGTGCTCCTCAACATTCCCTGGTAGCACCTACAGGGCAGTACGCAGAGAAGGCTCTTACTATCCATTGAAATCAGTGGGATGAATGAGTTAGCCCTATGCATTTTTATTGAAACTTATCCCCAAGTATTTCAAAAACTCAGAGGCAGTATGCTGTTGAATTCCATTTCCTGAGGAGCAACAAGGCAAAACAGCAATTGTCTTCATGCTTTCTTGATATGTTTCCAGATGCATTTAGCTGACCACTGTGGAAAACAAAATATAAGGGTTTTTTCCTGATATTTTTAAGAAAATAGGGGAATTCTGTGCTGAACAAATAAGCATATGTGTACTGAAAGAAATCATTGAATTCATTTAACAGTGTACAGTGGTACCTCGGGTTACGAACGCCTCTGCTTACGAACTTTTCGGGTTACAACCAG